TCATGGCACGACCATTGCAAAAAGCTCAAGCAGTCACGTGAATAAAAAAATATAAGGTTTTAGCCGTCGATTTATCCCTTTCTGGGATAAATCGACAGGCATGCATTCTACTTTCAGAATCGTAGTGTCATATTGAAGGCGATGTGCCCTATTCAGGGCTTGGGGGGGGGAGGTGGGCAGCCGATCCACAAGTCAGTGTTCCTATCCTTCCTCACGAACCTTGTATTGATTTAGCGTCCCAGAAGTTTGAAGACTTGCTTAGCTTGGGCGGGTGCCGATGCTGGATTTGACCCCAAGACCGTGAAAGTGGTAAGCGTGCCAGTTGCTACTGCATCACCTCCGCCTCAAGCGATCACGTAAGCTTCAGAATTGTTATCATGTACTTCATCTAATGGTATATTTCAGGCGTAAAACAGGTCTCCGAGAATTGGAAGTTTTACGTAAGTTGAATGAAGCGGATAGAGAAGACAGGTTTCACTGTCTGCAGCTGTATAGGACGTTCAATCATCACAATCATCTTTGCCTTTGCTTCGAGAATCTGAGGTAGGCCTTGTGCCGAGTCTCTGCCATTCCATTCTAAATGATGATGACTTTAATGCAAGAAGTGTGATAATTGATGATAGCAGTATTTCAGACACAGTGTCAAGTGTGCTCAAGTTCGGTGTGATATTGTAAAAGCGTGTGCAGCCCCCGTATCCGGCAACAAATGCGCTTACACGGTCTGATTTGGTCTATTGCCGCATCTCGTAATCTCAACAATGCGCTAGTTATGAACGCTCAATTGCTCACTCCTAGCATGCTCTGTCATCGCCATTCTAAGCGAAAACGATGATGACGCATGAATTTTGCTTTAAGTTCTCAAAGAATGGCAGAGTACTCTCTACATTTTGAAATTGACCTTTTCAGATTACCTTTACTGGTAGTAGTTTGTGTGTTCATAAATAAGAATTGCAGCATGAATTTGCGAGAGCTCCTCAAGAAGTATGGTAATAATGTTGGTCTACACATGAAGGCTGTTAGAAGCTATGCCCATCAACTGCTAATGGCTTTACGACTCCTCAAGAAATGTGGTCTTGTCCATGCCGATATTAAGCCCGACAATATTTTGGTATGTATGACTGATTTTCTCTTTTCTCCCTTGGAATATTTCAAACTGCTTCAGGTGAACGAATCCAAGCTGATACTGAAGCTATGCGATTTTGGATCAGCTGGACACGTGCGGGATCAGGAGATTGCCCCGTATCTGGTTTCTCGATTCTATCGTGCGCCAGAAATCAGTGAGTTGCATCAGAACTTATTCCTCGAGAGACACATCCCGCCATTGCCTAATAGGAAGAATCCCGTCAGTGTACAGACTTGTTCGGTGCGAATGAAGGGGAGTATCAGACGGGACGAGTTTGGCACGGCGCCGAAGCCGTCTCCATCAGTTCTTGAGTTGGGTAAGCGGCAACAATTGGTGGAAAACAAACGATACAGTCATTTCGCTTGCTTGCTTCAATAACTGGTGTGGAACGGGTTTGGCGCCGCGCCAAACTCATCCCGCCTGACACGCCCCTTCCGCAGCCCGTATCCTGAGACGCGAGAACCCTAAACGTTTGTGATTTTAGTCGAAGAGCATCTGTTCACCTGATCCACCCGCCACACAAAATGATGCGTCGACGCGCATGGCGTTGCGATCGTTTTCTCCCTTTGTGCCGTACTTATTTCCCACCCGAAGTTGTCGTCTGGTCTCGCATTGTGCCTGCTTAGCCTGGTCTCCCTGTGTCTCATGCTTCTCCGCACGCTTGTCCAACTCTGAAAATCGACCTATAAGGTACCTTATTTGGTGCGTTGGTAATGGTTTTCCCTGCTTTCTTTCTTGGACATTGTTCACAGTCGGTGTCTCTGACGAATGAAAAAGCTGCAAAAACCAGTAAAGTACGTATCGACCGGAAGAAAACGCTCTGGTGGAACTCCGGCGCCGTTTGGCGCGTACGCGAAAAGAAGATGCCTGGTACGTATCCATCGCTAACTAGCCTGTGGAATAATGCAGAGTAGAATCAGGGTTTTCGCCACATGGCGAAGCGCTGAAACCACCCTTTCCTGTACGTACCAAAACCTTGTCCATAACGTTTCTCTCTCCGATGTAGGGCACAGACTGCTGACACAGTACCCCAGTGGCTAAACCGAATTCGCACCTCAACGAATTCGAATCCAGGTCAAAACACTTACATTTGTAGTTGAAAATTTTCTGATGATCAGCTTAACAGTATCTTTCCAGTGTTGGGTATTCCTCATGATTATGGTATTGATTTGTGGTCTATCGCAGTGACTATTTATGAAGTTTACACGGGAAAAATCATGTTCCCAGGAAAAAGCAACAACCACATGCTTAAGGTGTGTGTAAGCCTGATTTTATTGCCTCTTTTAAAATCTCACAATCTGTTAAAAACATTGTTTGCCAAAAAACAAATCACGGCTGCAAAACGTCAGAATTGCAATAAGTGGTCACTCACAGGAGCCTCAATTTTGACCAAGACTTGATGGCGAACCTCTCGAAGATTTCATAAGACTCAAATTCAAACATTCATGTCAGCTGCCTCAAAATAGTTTTAAAAAAAATTTATGTGTAAAGTCTCCAACATCTCTCGTATAACCTCGTCCATTTTGTACTTTTCATTACTCTGCGTACAACGAGGTTGTATAGTGGAACTTTATTTGCGGCCTAACGTTTCGACCAGATCGTCGTCCTCAGAGGCCTGAACGTAGCTCAAGATTTTTAATTTGCTCTCTACACCGCCAAACGCCTTGCCTTCCCAGCGTTTCCGACGGTACTTCTAGAAACAACCAAAAACCTCCCGTAGGTAAAACATACTCACCGAGTCCACCGCGGCATGAGCGGATCAATGCCGCTCCACTAGATGTTAGTAAAGTAAGTGAGACACACCGTGCTATCCTTGGATAGTAGCTATCAGGACTTGCACATCTCACGGCTTACATCATTAGCTCGCAAATGGGTGAAAACGGAAGAGATCCCATTTTATGATTAAACACTTTATTTCCGATTAAATAACGAACGGTGTGTTCACATTATTTTACTAATTAGTAATAATTAAGTGAGACACACCTGTTCGTTATTTAATCGAATGAGTTGTTTACCATAAAAACAACATATCTCTACGTTTTCACCACATTGGCACTAATAATGTAAGCCGTGAGATGTGCAAGTCCTGATAGCTACTATCCAAGGATAGCACGGTGTGTCTCACTTGTTTTACTAACATCTAGTGGAGCGGCATTGATCCGCTCATGCCGCGGTGGACTCGGTGAGTATGTTTTACCTACGGGAGGTTTTTGGTTGTTTCTGGAAGTACCGTCGGAAACGCTGGGGCGACAAGGCGTTTGGCGGTGTAGAGAGCAAATTAAAAATCTTGAGCTACGTTCAGGCCTCTGAGGACGACGATCTGGTCGAAACGTTAGGCCGTAAATAAAGTTCCACCTACAAACCTCGTTGACGCAGAAGTAATAGAACAAAACTTATGTAATATTTTTCAAGTCTGGGTCCGATCTAAGGGTTAATTAGCTACCGCTCGTTCAATTTAGGCGTTTTACAGTCGTGATACGGGATAGGTTGCGTGTTTTTGTCAACTAACCATACACTTTGGCAAAAATCATGCCAGTGAGGTGCGGGTTCTTGTGATGAAAACGAATGCTCATTCTCTTTTTCCATAGTCATTCGAGTCTTTTACCCGCCTTTTGAGTGTCTTCCTTCAAAATACTTGAATTTCGAGCAGAATGAAACCTTGTGCAAGGTTCAGACTTCCCTATGACGCGCGTCGACGTACTACTGCAAGGGCGTCCCAGTGCTATAGCCTCCAGTGCAGCTGCAGACAAGAATCAATCGGCGTTGGCCGTAACAGTTTTGGGAAAATATGGGGTAACAGGAGGGTGCCAGATTGTGTGAAAGCTCGGCCTGCCCGCCTGGTATCCTATACTCTCTGAAAAAGGGCCTATCGATTCCCCCCTGCGGCTGCGTTCGCAACCACAGCTTTGGTGCGTCCTTGCAGTGGTAGCGCATCGGCGCGCGTTACAGCGCGTCATCGCGAACTCTAGGCGCGTCGCTGCCTAAGGCCTCCCACTTTGGCAAAAACCACGCACCTTTCACTTGACATGGCGTTTGCTAAAGTGTTCAACGCTGATGTTCAACCCACATGTAACGAATTACAAGTGCCCTAAGCTTTACCAAATGAAATGGCTGCAAAATTTGTATGTTTTCCGGATGGACATATTCGGATTAGAGTTATATGGACGCCATTCTAAGTTTTCAATGCCTCGAGCATCTTGAAGGTTTGAGTACAATTTTCCACAATGTAAGAATAACTTCTAACAAGAGTATATCGATCCAGATTCTCTTTGGCCACACGAAACTCGTCCGTAGCTTCGTGGAATGTTGTCTCATTTGATAGAGAAGCGTCTTCGCCCACTAGACGTTGCAGCATTGGTCGGGAGTTTTGTACAGGGTGGAAAAAGTATTTACTGCTGAAAATCAGGGCATAACTTTGTGAAATCACTAAAGAAAAATCAGGGCTAAGCCTTACTCTGATGGTTATCGAAGTTGGAACAAAAATCTGGTAAATTTACGAAGTTATGCTTCACTTTTCAGCGGTAAATACTTCCCTCGACCTAATTTTCACTTGTTCCTTTGCAGCTTTTCACAGAGGTGAAAGGGAAGTATCCGAACAAGCTTGTTCGAAGAGCTCAGTTCCGCGATCAACATTTCGACGCCAACTGCAACCTCCTCTACCATGAAGTCGACAAAGTTACCCAACGAGACAAGGTAAGATCAGAGGGAGTTACATGACTGCGTGACCTTCTGCCATTATCTCGCCGCGAAAGAAGATATTGTACAGAGATAGGGAAGTGTGACCGTCAGAGCATAAAAAGGTGCGACAGAACATAGCGAATTCGGGGATGTTTCCTATCAGGGTTAGGGGGGGGGACTGCTGTACTACTTTGAATAATGAAGTGTATAGGTCATTGATCAAACGCTGCTT